ATAAAGGCGATATTTAGAGGTCAAAAAGGTCCTGCTTAAATTATCTTCCAACCTATGACGATCTGAGGTGGGTGCTTATATATCGTAAGTTGTTTTATTTATGCTACCTATCCATATTTTACACTTAGTACCATATTTATATTTATATATATGTTAGGATCCCCCACTATTCATATCAACTAGAGATATCTTTTCATGTATTTTTTGCACTGTACATGGTTTTTATATGATAGTAGTTTTTAGTGGTTCATATATTTTTCCCTTTGTATAGATATTCTTATGTGTAGGGACACAAATTGGGATCAGGTTTTTTGCTTTTATGAACAACTTTCAATAAGTCTTACTACTCTGCAGCTAGAATTAACCATCAGAAATGTATGCCAGTATTTGAGTCCACATTTAAGGTTAAGACATATCTAAGAATATATATTGGTTTAGTTAGTAATATCCACAAGTATTCTGTTTGCATATGTACACCATTTCCATTGTTTAGATTATTTTATGTCTTGTGTTTTTGTATGGCATTAGCAGTTTAAGCTTAGCCTATAATGCATTAGACGAATATTGTTTTTAATATGTATGAGTTTATATGCATAGTTGGGAAATTATGTGTTCCCGTTTGTATAAACCACTGTATTTGTATTTTATTTCGATATGTTTTATAATAAGGGGGTGTATACCCTTAAGGAATTTGAATTCATTTTGCCCGGCAAAATATAAAACTGCCGAACAAGACTTTTAGCACCTATCTTGAAAAAGCCCTCGTTAGAAGGGCGAAACGCGTTGATAGGGTGCTATCATCATTTATCCAGAAGATTTTCGAGTTCACATACTTCACTAACGCTTGACAGAAGCCGGACCTCCAGCCAGCGTTTTCCCATCGAGAACATTACAGACAGCCCTCCCGAGTGCACCGAGAGAGGGGCTATCCTTAATAGAAACATGAAGGGACGCAAAGGATTTTCTTCTGCTTGATCCATCACGATGAGCATTTTATTTTATACAGGGTACGAGTTTTTATAGTTGGGGGGTTTTCTCTCTTTTTTGTTTATACTTCCTGGGAAATTAAACTTTTGATACAGTATCACTCTATGTATATCTCTTTGTTTCTTTTTTTCTAAGGTATCACTACATGCTTCTGAGCTCCTGTATATTACAACGTTATCTGGATTGCAGGACTCTGTTACTGAACTATACTTTTTGGATACTTCTTGTGCTAGACTTTTTCATTTGTTTGCATATATATGCACCTTTTTAATTTTAAGGGGACTATCTACTAAGCGCTGAAAAATTTATATGTACATTTGTTTTATGAAATGGGAAATTTCTTTTTATTTTAGCAGCTATCATTGTTTGAGTATATTAGGTTTTATTCCTATTGTTTGATCTGGACCACATGTAAATTATTACGAAGGTTTTTTATTTGTTATGCATGCGCTCTCTTTTTAATTAGTTATACTGTTTTTCCCAAGAACAGTTACTGGTGAGGGGGACTGATTGCATTCAAACTTTGGTTTCCTGGTTGTAAGGCAGTGATGGTACCAATGCTCTAACCAGCCGATAAAGTTAATAACGTAAGAATTACTCATACACATTCCCTAAAATGTCTGTTTTGAACATCCTCAGAGAAAGGCTGACATAATATCATCTGTACTCTAAATATCTAGTTAGGTAACCTTTTCTTTTCCCAACAGCAGATGTAGACGTTCAGACTTCAGGTTGATTAAGAGACACTTTTTTGTTGTTGTCAGTTTTTACTTATGAAAAATTTTAACAAATAGGAACAGTTTATCGAACAGTCTGTTTGTTCCATTTACCGTTATTAAAAGTGAATACAGTATCATGCATTAGCGTACATTGTGAGCTAACCGTAAAACAGATTATTATAATATAGAAAAGACATCATCTCGAGACATTAGCAATAACATACCTCCCATCATATCAAATGGGCAAGAGGGACAATTTAACTTTAGGGGTGAGGACGGGGCTGGGCTGTTCTAAACAAATTTAACCCCTTAAGGACCAAGCTTCTGGAATAAAAGGGAATTATGACATGTCACACATGTCATGTGTCCTTAAGGGGTTAAGCAACTAAAATGTAATTTAGAACAAGAACAGTGTATCTTATTTACACAGACTGATTTCTAAACACATTTATTGTAGTTTAAAGACACATTACTGGGAGTATTATTACTGTGGAGCTCTGTGATACACTCAGACACATTACTGGGAGTATTATTACTGTGGAGCTCTGTTATACGCTCAGACACATTACTGGGAGTATTATTACTGTGGAGCTCTGTTATACACTCAGACACATTACTGGGAGTATTATTGCTGTGGAGCTCTGTATACACTCAGACACATTACTGGGAGTATTATTGCTGTGGAGCTCTGTTATACGCTCAGACACATTACTGGGAGTATTATTGCTGTGGAGCTCTGTTATACACTTAGACACATTACTGGGAGTATTATTGCTGTGGAGCTCTGTTATACACTCAGACACATTACTGGGAGTATTATTGCTGTGGAGCTCTGTTATACACTCAGACACATTACTGGGAGTATTATTGCTGTGGAGCTCTGTTATACACTCAGACACATTACTGGAAGTATTATTGCTGTGGAGCTCTGTTATACACTCAGAGACATTACTGGGAGTATTATTGCTGTGGAGCTCTGTGATACACTCAGACACATTACTGGGAGTATTATTACTGTGGAGCTCTGTAATACACTCAGACACATTATTGAGAGTATTATTGCTGTGGAGCTCTGTTATACACTCAGACACATCACTGGGAGTATTATTGCTGTGGAGCTCTGTTATACGCTCAGACACATTACTGGGAGTATTATTGCTGTGGAGCTCTGTTATACACTCAGACACATTACTGGGAGTATTATTGCTGTGGAGCTCTGTTATACATCAGACACATTACTGGGAGTATTATTGCTGTGGAGCTCTGTTATACACTCAGACACATTACTGGGAGTATTATTGCTGTGGAGCTCTGTTATACACTCAGACACATTACTGGGAGTATTATTGCTGTGGAGCTCTGTTATACACTCAGACACATTACTGGGAGTATTATTGCTGTGGAGCTCTGTTATACACTCAGACACATTACTGGGAGTATTATTGCTGTGGAGCTCTGTTATACACTCAGACACATTACTGGGAGTATTATTGCTGTGGAGCTCTGTTATACACTCAGACACATTACTGGGAGTATTATTGCTGTGGAGCTCTGTAATACACTCAGACACATTACTGGGAGTATTATCGCTGTGGGGCTCTGTTATACACTCAGACACAATACTGGGAGTATTATTGCTGTGGAGCTCTGTTATACACTCAGACACAATACTGGGAGTATTATTGCTGTGGAGCTCTGTTATACACTCAGACACATTACTGGGAGTATTATTGTTGTGGAGCTCTGTTATACACTCAGACATAGCAACAATACAGAGCTCCTTGAAAAAGGGAACAAGAAAGGGGAAAGAGAAGAAAAACAGTGTGATTTAAGGTTATTCAGAACTCTCGGCTCACCAGGTGCCTTAAGAGCAAGGAGAAATTAAGCATTTTCTTAAGATTGCAACATTGCTTCAGAAGGAGGTAGTTTGGAGTTGATTTGCTGGCCTGTTTGTTTGTGGCCTTCAGGAGAATGAGGCTATTTATTTTACTTTAATTACACCAACGAGCCGCCATTTATCAAGGACCTCTAAAAACATCTTCATTACAGCATTCAACCTCCCTCGTGCTTTCTTAGCGAGCGATGGAGCTACCTTGATGTAGTTAAATCAGTCACATCATAACATGCGCCACAGGCACATCCAGCGCTAAGGTTTTAAGAAGCTGCCACAAGCTGCCATCTGCAATGCAATACAGGAGTTGTATTTTTCCTAAGCTGAATAAGGAACACAATACACAGTCGTGTTTTCTTTAAAGACACTATTGATGGATGAACAGTAAGTAATACGTAAAGTAAGTCAAGATAATTCTTTTTTTTTTTTTTATATAAACCGGGTACCCTCTGGCACGGCTGCTGCTCTGGACTACATTTCCCATGATGCAGAGCCATACAATGTTTAATGATGACTGCAAGTCCTGTGACGCTTGTTGGGAAACTATATCTGATCTTTTCATTTTTAGGGTGCATGCTCGGCGAAGACAAAGGTCTAGCACAGAGTTCTGCATATGAGTGGGGGTAACACATTTAGCATTGTGGAACAGGAAGCTCTGGATGGCGGTAACGGAGGCACATGGATCTGTAGGGAAAAAGGCAGAACAATTCTACGCAAAAAGGAGGACTTGGCTCTGTAAAGGAGGGGATTAGACAACAACAGAATCCACAGAAGTATCAGAACTCACTGGGCAGGTTCCAATCTCAGAATGTAGCGGAGTACGGGGGCCTCACACAGTTTATAATGTATGGATTAGTGGTGACTGATTTAAACAGCACACGAACAAAGCAAATGTTAATGAAATCCATCTCTGAATGCTGGAGTAGGCTAAACCTCAACAGAAAAGTACCTTACAAAAGGATTGTGTTTTGTTTGTTGTTGTGGTTCGTTAGACTATGTCTTAAAGGGACACTCCAGGCACCCAGACCACTTCTGCCCACTGGAGTGGTCTGGATGCCAACTCCCACTACACTTAACCCTGCAACTATAAATATTGCAGTTTTCATAAACTGCAATATTTGCCTTGCAGGGTTAACTCCTCCTCTACTGTCGACTAGACAGCCACTAAAGGGCACTTCCTGGTTTATAGCACAGGTTTTCTGTGCTACAGCATCGCTGGATGTCCTCACGCTATGTGAGGACCTCCAGCGTCGCTAAAATCCTTATAGGAAAGCATTCAAAGCATTTTCAATGCTTTCCTATGGAGAGGTCTAATGCGCGTTGGAGGAGTGTGGGCGGACCCTAAACCAGCGCCGAGGGACATTGGCGCTGGTCTCAGGTAAGTCACTGAAGGGGCTCTAACCTCTTCAGCAACGTAGGATGGGGGGTGGGAGGGAGAAGGTACCTACAGTGCCAGGAACGATTTGTTTTCCTGGCACTGGAGTGTCCCTTTAAGGTGTTGATAATACTAACTAAACTGTTTAGCTACCTTACTAAGGATATCTACTGGGGACACTAGGTTCAGTGACATTACAGCATGGCTTCACCCATGTTTGGTGACAGTGCTGTCATGTGATTGGTTGGTAATTTACATGCACTCAATTCCATGTTTGTGGTTTGAGAAGCATATTAACACACAAGCCAACTGAGCACAGGGGACATCTGTCAGTAAAGCTCATCACAGTGACCTAAGCCTATTGTTTGTGGGTGTCTTCACCAATTTGGGGGACTTGGTAACTGTGATAAGACACCATTTTGTGCTTTTCAAGGAAAACAGTATATTTATTTATTTTTAATAGGTTTTTCAAGACAAACACGTAATTTCCGGCTGCTTGTATTTTGCTGCCACAGAAGTCCAGTCTGGCTAGTTTCAGCTTTAGCCACAGGCCTTGGAGTGTTCCTGATTGTATTCAATCATACAAAAATACAGACTGCATTGCATTAAAACTGTATTACATATATCCGTAGATGTGTCGACATGAGCACCCAAGCAGCCATAGGTGAATTTTTAACATGCTAGGAATCTTTATTCAGACTAGACAGAGCACCCACAAGGATGTGCAAAAGTCTCTAACATGTTCAATCAGCCTCTACATCAAAAAATGAGTTCTAATGCCCCTTTAAATAGGCCCAATGATTATTGATTCATTCTTAGAATCATAAGAAAAATATTATGGGGGAGGCGGTGCCCCACGTAAAACTAGCTGAGCTTTCCTGATGCAAAGACATTTTAATGACGGCAGATCAATAGCAGCACGTGACGATTTGGAATTTAGAGGCTAGTAGGACCTAACACAAGGTTATTCTTGGTTACTCTTTGGAGTTTTGACACATATTGTCTGTCTCCAATAAACCCCCCTGTGCCAAGCTAGTAACTGTTAATAATAGGAGCGGCATTGCATTCCACAGCAATGTTTAGACCGTGTTAAAGGAACAATCTAAGTACCATAACCACAACAGTGCACTTCCCAACTTCTCTCTGCATCCTTGATCCCAGGAAGCTCCGGCTTAGGAGCTATGATTAGCTCTTCTGAGCTAAACCGTGCAGTGCAGGGCGAACTCATTTGCTGAGAGCATCGACTCTATCTCTGCACTGTCAGGCTTGGTTCAGACAGAGAGCTCTTCTGTAGCTGTAATCAAGGCTGGGAGTTGACAGTGGAGGATTCAGGTAATATGTGATGCAGTGGTTATGGTGCTTAGAGTGCTCTTTTAAAAATGACCAAAATGGGGAATAATTGTATCCAGTATAACAGTGCGTGAGAATCGCACATTACTCCAAAATACACATGTAGGAAAAATTTACAAGCTCAACTCATTTTAAGGTTTTTTTGGGCAGAAAATGTGCAGTTTCTGATCACGTCTCTATGCCTGCTTTAGTAAATGCATGTCATAATATTGTTTTTTTTTGTTTTCTGGTGTCAGTTCCGCGGTCGCTTTAAGAATGCCTTTAAAACCGGTCATGTATTCTTGCACATGTGTACAGGTACAAACAGGGACCTGGAAGATCCTGAAAGATTGCAAGACATTTTATTTATCTTGCATGCATAATGACAAGTCACAGATCACATTTTACAATAATCCCATTTTACATGAGATAAAATAGTCTTTGTCATGTGAATATGTTCTGATTGTGTTGGAATTTCTATGAAATTAATCGCCGTCTACGAGAGCTTTTTTTGATGAGTCAATTACGAAAAAACTCAAAAATGACAGAGCCACTTTAAAAATACATACTTCAGGGCTTTATTTCAGCTAAAAAAAACCCCTGAGATATACAATTTTTCACCAGCATCCCTGATTCAAATTATAATCTGACATAAATAAACCTCTACTTGTAACAACAATGCCACGATCGGCAGTATTAAAATCTCTACTTCTGCATTCTTCAAAACCAAAAGTGCTCTTTTTTCCGATCCTTGAAAGTTCAATACCTAAGAATGTGTGGTAAGTAAACAACTGAAAAAACATAAGCCTAGAGGCTCAGAAAGCACAAATTCCATCCTAATTACAGGTTTATGTGATACAGTATAGGATATTTCACAGCAATATCCTCCATTATAAAGGAAACTGAGACCCCCATCAATCAGACAGGCTTGACACATTGTAATTACGTGACTTTGCTTCCCAATAGAATGTTGGCATGGGCAAAGATGTCTGTGCGTAATGGGGGTACCGATATTGGGGTGGGGTGGGGAGGGGGTAGGTGTTTGCCTTTACTTGATGAGCTATTTTATTCATTTTTGTTTGGTTACAAACCCATCAGCTTGTGTCTTTTTCTGCATCCCCACCCCCTCTCTCTGACTCCTTATCCTCCCTCTCTTCCCATTGATGCTGCTAGCTGCTATATGACCAGAATATTGAAAGGTTTTATCTGTATTCAAGACACGGAAGAAGGGATTGAGAGAGAGGGAAAGGAAGAATTTATAGAATATAGGGGAAGGGAGGAATGTATGATGGACAGAAAGAGTGATGGCAGTTAACAGAGAATAAAGCTTTTTAACTAAAAGCGGAATGAGAGAGAGAGTATGAAAGGCCCCCTAAATGACTGGGTAAGAATGGAGTATGCAGGATGTGTACCCATTATGGTATGGACCTCATGCTGTTATTTAGAGTAGTCAATGTATGCGTCAAGGATCTATGACTTATTAATGAGAGCTGGGTTTGCTCACAATGATGTCATTATCCTCACCAACTCTTACTTTAATCCAGATATAAAAGGTTTCAAGTAGAGCTGTAATTGGATGACCAACGAGGCTGTATTAAACAGAAAAGGAAGCTACAACAGGAGACTGGATGGAGATGGGGAGAAATGTGCATCTTAAAGGAAGGAAATCACATAAATTCAACCTTTTATGGAAAACAATTTAGACCAATTTAACCAGTTCCCTATTAGCATCCAATCACCACTTGATCAGTACCAAAAAATGATGTGTTATAAAGTGACATTGGGATCCGAAGAGAAAAACTAATTCCAGTTTGTGCTTGGTATTGGGGCTCCACCATTGATTCCCCAAAGCACGAAAGATGTAGTCCACAGCCTTTTCTGTCATTTTAAATTGCCTTTACTACAGGCACAACAAGTGACCTTGAAATATCTGGACCTCTTTGACTCGTTGTCAAGCCTAATTACTCCAACCTGTTATAAAACATTGTAGAGTTTAAATGTTGACTTGTGTGGTTGAACCTAGGGCAGGCAAAAACCCAAATTTACTGAAATGTTGTCAGGTTCACTTGTGCAGGCAATAATAATGCAATCCTACAATCTGTACACAAACTTCTCATCTCTTGTGATTTTCACACACAGGGTTGTACATAGTACATAGACACAACCAGTGGTACATAGACACAACCAGTCCAAAATGGCGGCCACCTGCTCATTTAATATGGTCATGGCCAGGCTCAGAAATAATTTCAGCTGACTGCACCTTGATGTAAATTTTAAGTAGCAAGTGGTCATATTTTTATAGGTTTCCTGTATTTATGCAACATTAACATCACGACTTATATTGCACTATTTTTCCACCCATGCCTGCAATGCTATAGGGGAAATTATTGTAAATGGAAAAGTGATAATATCCAGAGAAACATAAATGATGCAAGTAAAGTCTATTTTTTGGATAAAACAAAGTAAGACCCTATACATGAAACCAAGGATTTTTAGTCTTGGACTTTTTGCTGCATGAAATGAGGATTCGTCGCGGGTGGAGGGTGTAAAACATTGAGAACTTTTAAAATAATTATTCTGCTTGATAATTATTCATATAAATGTATGTCAATTCATATTTCTTATTGTTGGATGGCTCATCATGCATATTATAGTTCTTTGTCACTTAAAAAGATAACGCAGTTAGACTTTCCTGGCTTTTCTTATAAAAGAGAGTTATTCTTCTTGCTTTGCACATACAAAGTCAATACTTACAATGTCAGTGATGTTAAATAGGTTAACAGCTGATGGTACATGCTGGACATTCAGAGTGTGAAGACACTCTCCCCTGATGTCCTGTGTCTCAGTGTCAATGTCTCATTCTCCTAGACTCTCTTACACAGATAATCCATTCTACATATATACCACCAAAAAGGCCGTGTAAGCATTACAAGTCAATGCTATTGATACAATAGGCTTGTTGGCAATTCTAATAACCCTATTATGTTCCATGGACACTCAGAAAAATAGAGAAGTCCATGGAACATAATAGGGTTATTAGAATTGCCACTTATTGTCATCTGTTCATGTCACTCAAGATCAACCACACCACCATGTGAAATGCATGTAAGAGACATTTCCAAAATATAGAATATTTTACAGAGGGTATGAATTAGGGATGACAAATATATAAAATGAAAATGAGGAGAATAATAAAAAAAATAGGGATAAGGAGGAAGTATGATATAGACAATGTGCAGAGTATATAAATTGTGAATCAGGGAAAGTGTAGGTAAGAGGGATTTGGGAAAATTTTGGGATGAAATAAGAAAAAGTGGTATAACACTAAAACGAGGCAGTAAAAATGGGTTTAAGAAACACATAAAATAATAGTGAGATGGGACAGAAAATATATATCTAATGGGACATTGGAGGAGCATCAATGCATTAGGGATGAAAGGGTATTTAAAGATATTCAATGCATCAACTGATATCTGCTGTTTATACCAATCTGTATCTAGTGTACAGAACATAACGTTCTCCAAACATATAGCCATGTAAGATGGGACCCTCCGAAACAAATCAATTTGACATACCTCCTCTGGAATTCAGAACAAAATGGTGTGAAAAAGAAAAGAAAAATCTGGTGAGCGTCAGTTTTTGGGTGAAAATATCCTTTTAATGAGAGAGGTCAGAGGAGAATGTCCAGACTGATTGCTAGGCATGTTGCCAGTTCCAATTTTTTGATGGTGGAATAAAATGTCACTTCTAAATTGAAGTTTTGTGTCGTAGCTTTTCGCTTTATTTCCTGTTAAAGTGGCTCTGGCATCTCGGCCACCGGACATCAAGTGGAGCAGTCACCTTTGTGGGATCTTTGACTGCTCCATTTGATGTCCGGTGGGGTGGCTGCGGGTGTAGGGGAAGGTGAGTTTGTCATTTGTAGCTGCCGCCATCTTCATCCATTGGATACTATTCAACTCCTCTGTCTTAAGTGCCAGGAGCCAACATCAATACTGTACACTCGCATATGCACGGGAGGTCTACAGAGGATTCAGCAAGACCATAGGATCCTCTATAGACAATGCCTTTTTCCCTAGCAGCCTTCACCAGTGACAAAACTGTTGACAAGACTAAATGATGACAAAACTTGACAGTGGTTGTACCACCTTTTGTCAGACATTGAAAATTTAAAAAGAAAAAACAGTCCTTACTTTGATTAAGAATATTTTTTGACTAAGTGTGTGTGTGTGTGTGGGACGAGGGTGTGACAGTGCTGCTTTAAATAACTACACATCACAAAAATGCCATGCAATCACCACCTATGAACGCACAACACATCGAACTTTGAAGTTGACGACATAAAACTACAGAAGACCACGTTAGGTTATACTCTGATCAGGTAAGAGCAGGAAACAGAGGCTACAGCTGGCAAACATGCAACAAAATTGGGCAGTAGAGAAATGAAAAAAAATTGCCGGTCTGACAAATGATTTATATTGCAACTTGAATAAAGAACAAGACTTGCTACCTTGTGACAGCTCAGGCTCATGGTGTCGTTTCTGGTCATGCATTAGGGAACACAAACAGACCCAGACTCAGATCATCTCACTGGTGCAAAATGTTTTGCCTCCCCCCCATATGTCCTGCCCACCATATGACATCACAATGCCCCGCCCATATGCTCTGCTATATGGGCCAACGCCAGTGCTGCACACAGTGTCTTTTCTCTGAAAAGACAGTGTGTTTACATTAAAAAGCCTCAGGGACAGACTATAGACACCAGAACAACTACATTAAGCTGTAGTGCTTCTGGAGACTATAGTGGCCCTTTAATGTAAATTAGAGATTAGTGTCACTAATAATATATTGGATTGCCTACTTACCACCAGATGAGGACAAGAGGCTGATGATGGGCTCAGGCTGGCTCCACAGGTCTGGTGTAGAACACGCTCTCTGGAGACTGTTTGTAACAGTGCTCACAACAATTAACGAACAGGAAGCAGCTCCATTTTTGGGGCCCCTTACACAGCTCAAGGTCTGGGCTCCCAGGGCCTGACTGTGAGTATGCCTACAATGCCCACCCATCAATGCACCTACAAGGCCCACCCATGAGTTCTCTCACAGGGAGTGGAGTGTATGTGTGTAGGGAATGTGTTATGTGTTATTGTAGAGGATGTAATGTGTTTGTGTTCTTATGGAATGTAGTGTATAGGGATACCAATTTGTGTAAGGGATGTAGTGTGTGTATAGGGGATGCAGTGTGTGTTTGCGTGTAAGGAATGCATTGTATGTTTCTGTGTGTGTGTGTGTGTGTGTAAGGGATGCAAGGTGTGTTTCTGTGCATGTAATTTAATGCAGTGTGTGTCTGTAAGGGGTGCATTGAGTGTGTGTAAGAGATGCATTTTGTTTTTGTGTGTGCGTGAAATTGATGCATTGTGTGTTTTGGTGTGTCTGTGTGTAGGGATGCATTGTATGTTTCTGTGTGTGTAGGGATGCATTGTGTATGTCTGTAGTGTAAAAGAGAGGGTTTGTGGGGTAGGATAAGGACTGAGAGAGGAGCAGCTCATTATTTTTCTTATAGTGCTCCTCCTGTCAATTAGTGATCTCCCCTTCCCTCCTGTCCTTCAGTGTTCTCCCCTCCTTTCCCTTAGTGCTCTCTCCTCCCCTCCTGTCCCTTTGCAGTCCCCCTTTGGTGGTCTTCTCACTCCCCCCTCTCACCCTTAGTGGTCTTCTCACTCCCCCCTTTGGTGGTCCTTCCCCTTCTCCCCACCTCCCCCCCTTTGGTGGTCCTTCCCCTCCCCCCCCTTTGGTGGTCCTTTCCCTCCTTACCCCCCAGTGGTCTTTTCTCTCCTTACCCCCCCTTCCCTTAATCCCTCTACCCCCCTTGGGGGTCCTGACTCCCTTTTGTGCCTGTGCCCTTCCCTCCTGCCGGTCACCCAAATCTGGCTCCCCCCGGGCCGCTGCGCCCTAGGCGACTGCTTAAGTCGCCTATAGGACGCGCCGAACCTGTCTGTGTGCACTGTCCCTGTCCCCTTAACCCTGCAATGTAAAACGTCGAAAAACTGCAATGTTTACATTGCTGAGTTAAAGGGACACTATACGCACCAAGACCACTTCAGCTCATTAAAGTGGTCTCGGTGCAGTGTCCCATCACCCTTAACCCTGAGCAGGTAATTATTGCAGTTTTGAATAAACTGCAATAATTACCTGCTTGGGTTTACTTTGATAGACAGCCACTAGAGGGACTTTCAGGTGCTTAGGCGACTTTTGTTCACCTAAATGATCCTGGACGTCCTCACGCTGTTTTCCTATTCTTCTCAATAAGCCTTAATAGTACTCTAGCTTAGCACGCCCTCTGCTTCTGTTAAACTAACGGACATGGAAGAAAACCTCCCTGGCTGTTTGAGCGACAGCTAGCAAGATGTCTGTGTCCCATTATAAACGGTCTCAAATGTGACAGATTCCAGCCACATCATAGCTTCAGCAAGTGTCTGGAGAGATCCTGTGATATCTACCTCTTAGTAGACACTGCATCCTGCTGGTGTGAGGTTGCATGAGAGGATTCAGCATCACTGGACGCGCCTGCGTTGGGCGCCATCTTACCAGTTAGGCTTGAGGCTGAAACCAGAAATGGGTCTATATCTTGCTTCTGAAATGAGACTTGTTGCCTAGATTTCTTAGGCTTTATTCCAGCACTCGGGAGAAATGTAACCGCTTCTTGCTCTGCTAGCTCTCTCCCTTTAAAGTATGTTCTATTGATCTCATCTCATGTAAGAATATATGTTTATTTGTGTTCTGGCTAATTGGCGAAGATAAAGAATTAAACCAATGGAATTGTTACTAGAACAAGATTAAGGAAAAACAATGCATCAGTCTAGATAATGAATAGTGTATCAATCCATAGAATAGAGCTAGCTAATGCCCGTGGGTTGATACTATGACTCGTGGGATAGATGGCGTGTCAGCCGGTGGGATAGATACTATGACTCGTGGGATAGATGGCGTGTCAGCCGGTGGGATAGATACTATGACTCGTGGGATAGATGGCGTGTCAGCCGGTGGGATAGATACTATGACTCGTGGGATAGATGGCGTGTCAGCTAGTGGGATAGATACTATGACTCGTGGGATAGATGGCGTGTCAGCTAGTGGGATAGATACTATGACTCGTGGGATAGATGAAGTGACAGCCGGTGGGATAGATACTATGACTCGTGGGATGAATAGTAAATGGCTCATGGGATACCTCATGTACACGCTCATGGGACAAACAATGTGTCAGCTCTCAGTCTGGATATTGTTAGTGTGATATTATACCCAATGATGTAAAACATTATCTCTAAGTACAAAGCATAGACTGTCAGCTCAGTGGGTCAACAGAACAATTTTGTAATAGCTCACAGGATCTTTTAAACTCATGGATAACGTGTATAATTTCATTGGAAAGTTAATCGATGCATTTAATAAACAGTCTACCAGATGAATGTATAGAGTTAACGGAATAAGCAGAGTGTGGCCCATGGGTAAAAAATGCCAGCATACAGGATAGATATGATATTGATTGTGTGTAACTACTCGTGGGGCAAAGAAACATCTCATGGTATATACAGTATACATAGCTAACTCACGTAATAGAAACAGTATCTATTCATAAACATGTCTACAAGGGACTGCATAGTCTACAGCTCATGGCATAGACTACCAACTAATGGGATAATATGCCAGCCTTTTGGAATGTTTAGGAATACATGGAATCAAGAGCGTGCCAACTGATGGGATATAGGAAGTATATCAACTAATGGGATATAGGTAGTGTACCAACTAATGGGATATAGGTAGTATACCAACTAATAGGATTTAGGTAGTATACCAGTCAATGGGATATAGGTAGTATACCAACTAATGGGATATAGGTAGTATACCAGTCAATGGGATATAGGTAGTATACCAACTAATGAGATATAGGTAGTATACCAACTAATGGGATATAGGTAGTATACCAACTAATGAGATATAGGTAGTATACCAACTAATGAGATATAGGTAGTATACCAACTAATGGGATATAAGTAGTATACCAACGAATGGGATATAGGTAGTATACCAGCTAATGGGATATTGGAAGTATACCAGCAAATGGGATATAGGTAGTATATCAGCTAAAGGGATATAGGTAGTATACCAGCAAATGGAATATAGATATTATACCAACTAATGAGATATAGGTAGTATACCCAGCACTGTATTTTCCGCAAGGCAAACAAGGCATTTGCCCAGCGCTGTATTTGCCGTGAGGCAAACAAGGCATTTGCCTTGGGCAACACTTTCCCAGGGGCGGCAAAAAACGCCTCTCCCAAATGTTAACCTCGGGGCAGGCAGCTAGCAGAGTTCCAGGCGGGCGGCGAGGGAGCTGAGCATCGAGAGCTCACAAATGAGCACTCCCTCGCCGCCTGCCTGGAACTCAGCTAGCTGCCAGTTTATATGGTTTTATCAAATCATGGGATGGATAGCTACCAGTTTATATTATATTTAACCAAATGAGTTTACTAGCTAAAAGGGTAGTTTACCAATCAACATGATAGCTATTTAATCCAGCTCATAAGTAATTTATCAACTCATGAAATGGTTTATTTAGCAGTTTACCAGCTCACAGAATTGTCTAGTATCAACTCACGTGGTAGTTTACTAGCTAATGGAAGTCATTAATCTACCAGCTCATATTATCATTTACCAACTCATGGATGGCTTGATTACCAGGTTACGGGATAGTTTGCTGATTTGATTGGCGCACAGTCTATGATACGGTGCCATATTGGATAGACACTGTGTCAGATCATAGGTTATACCATAGCATGGGACTGACTCGGCCTTTAGACTGTGTATCACACAGGAGGGCTGACTGAGGGACAGAGACTGCAGAAGATCATTCTACAGCCAGCATTCTATCCATAAACTATTTCTTCACATTCACACCGTCTCTGCCTCCTCTGTGTAAAGCAGCTGTCCAAATACACAGCAATCTCAGAATCATCAGCAGACAGCATTCTAACTACACACAGCTCCCAATCACACCAGCTTCACCACAGACTGCACTCTAAACCAGCTTCACCACAGACTGCACTCCACACAGCACTCTAAACCAGCTTCACCATAGACTGCACTCTACACAGCATTCTAAACCAGCTTCACCTCAGACTGCACTCTACACAGCATTCTAAACCAGCTTCACCACAGACTGCACTCTACACAGCACTCTAAACCAGCTTCACCACAGACTGCACTCCACACAGCACTCTAAACCAGCTTCACCATAGACTGCACTCTACACAGCATTCTAAACCAGCTTCACCACAGACTGCACTCTACACAGCATTCTAAACCAGCTTCATCACAGACTGCACTCTAAACCAGCTTCACCACAGACTGCACTCTACACAGCACTCTAAACCAGCTTCACCACAGACTGCACTCCACACAGCACTCTAAACCAGCTTCACCATAGACTGCACTCTACACAGCATTCTAAACCACCACAGACTTCACCTAAACAGACTGCACTCTACAGCATTCTAAACCAGCTTCACCACAGACTGCACTCTACACAGCATTCTAAACCAGCTTCACCACAGACTGCACTCTAAACCAGCTTCAATACAGACTGCACTCTACACAGCACTCTAAACCAGCTTCACCACAGACTGCACTCTACACAGTACTCTAAACCAGCTTCACCACAGACTGCACTCTACACAGCACTCTAAACCAGCTTCACCACAGACTGCACTCTACACAGCACTCTAAACCAGCTTCACCACAGACTGCACTCTACACAGCATTCTAAACCAGCTTCACCACAGACTGCACTCTACACAGCACTCTAAACCAGCTTCACCACAAACTGCACTCTACACAGTACTCTAAACTAGCTTCACCACAGACTGCACTCTACACAGCATTCTAAACCAGCTTCACCACAGACTGCACTCTACACAGCACTCTAAACCAGCTTCACCACAGACTGCACTCTACACAGCATTCTAAACCAGCTTCACCACAGACTGCACTCTAAACCAGCTTCACCACAGACTGCACTCTACACAGCACTCTAAACCAGCTTCACCAATACTGCACTCTACACAGCACTCTAAACCAGCTTCACCACAGACTGCACTCTACACAGCACTCTAAACCAGCTTCACCACAGACTGCACTCTACACAGCACTGACTGCACTCTACAAAACCAGCTTCACCACGGACTGCACTCTACAAAGCACTCTTAACCAGCTTCACCACTGCACTCTACATAGCATGCACGTCTATACAGACTGCACTCTACACAGCACTCTAAACCAGCTTCACCACAGACTGCACTCTACACAACACTCTAAACCAGCTTCACCACAGACTGCACTCTACACAGCACTCTAAACCAGCTTCACCACAGACTGCACTCTACACAGCACTCTAAACCAGCTTCACCACAGACTGCACTCTTAGCTTCACCACAGACTGCACTCTACACACCAGCTTCACCACAGCTTCACCACAGACTGCACTCTACACAGCACTCTAAACCAGCTTCACCACAGACTGCACTCTACACAGCACTCTAAACCAGCTTCACCACAGACTGCACTCTACACAGCACTCTAAACCAGCTTCACCACAGACTGCACTCTACATAGCACTCTAAACCAGCTTCACCACGGACTGCACTCTACTCTAGCTTCACCACGGACTGCACTCTACATAGCATTCTAGATTTACGTCTATACAGACTGCACTCTACACAGCACTCTAAACCAGCTTCACCACAGACTGCACTCTACACAACACTCTAAACCAGCTTCACCACAGACTGCACTCTACACAGCACTCTAAACCAGCTTCACCACAGACTGCACTCTACACAGCACTCTAAACCAGCTTCACCACAGACTGCACTCTAGACAGCTTCACCACAGACTGCACTCTACACAGCACTCTAAACCAGCTTCACCACATGCACTCTCTCTAAACCAGCTTCACCACAGACTGCACTCTACACAGCACTCTAAACCAGCTTCACCACAGACTGCACTCTACACAGCACTCTAAACCAGCTTCACCACAGACTGCACTCTACATAGCACTCTAAACCAGCTTCACCACGGACTGCACTCTACACAGCACTCTTAACCAGCTTCACCACGGACTGCACTCTACATAGCATTCTAAATCAGATTTACGTCTATACAGACTGCACTCTACACAGCACTCTAAACCAGCTTCACCACAGACTGCACTCTACACAACACTCTAAACCAGCTTCACCACAGACTGCACTCTACACAACACTCTAAACCAGCTTCACCACAGACTGCACTCTACACAACACTCTAAACCAGCTTCACCACATACTGCACTCTAAACCAGCTTCACCTCCATACAGACTGCACTCTACACAACATTCTAATCCAGATTCACAGCACTCTAAACCAGCTTCACCACAGACTACACAGGATTGTCTAAACAGGCTTCATCTGCACTCTCT